ATTGTAGAGCAGCAATAAATTCATTTATTAATAATAACTAATCCACTAATCAGCTCTCTTTCAGAAAGCACATTATTTCTATGCAAAGTTGCAATGTCTGTGGCGTGGATTAATTTTATGCTTATTCTGTTGTTAAGATATATATCTTACCTAGGGCTGTAATGTTCACTTGAAATGGCTTTTGTATACATTGCCATGGGACCAGGTGTACTACAGGCTGGACCTTCCTGGTCTAGCATCCTCAGGATCTGACTGGTTCCAAAGCAGGGAGCTTCCTAGACCAGGGAAAGTCTATGAAGGTTCCTCTGCTGCTGGCCTCAGAGTGCTTCTCCCAGCTCTAATCCTGGCCCCCAGTCCTGGCTGCTGGGTTCCACTCCCAGTCACTGGTCCCAGTTCCCAGTCCTGGCCACTGGGCCCTGCTACTAGCCACTGAGCTCTGCTTCCGGCACTGGCCCCAGCTCTGACACCCTGCCAGGGCTCATTCTCGACCACACAGCTCTGCTCCCAGCTGCCAGGCTCATGACCACCAGCTACATACAGCCCCCTACCCTGGCCACCAGATTCCAGCCCCTGGTCCTGGCCACTAAACTCCAACTCCAGCTGCTGGCCTCTGGCCCTGGGGCTCTCCTCCTAGCCACCGGCCCAGCTCTCTGGTCCAGCAACATTCACCTCTGCTGTACCAGTTTACCCTCTTGAGTGCTCCAACCCTGGAGCACCCACGGGATCCTGGACAATGCATGCCCACAGGTTAGTGCCAGAGTAGAGAGGTCCCTTACAATGCTGAACTAGTCATTTACATGATCTTGGGCATATTTTTGTTTTATTGTTGCAGTGGAGCTGACAACTGGGAGGTAAGTTAAAAGAGAGGATGGAATAGCCTCCATCCATTTTTCCTGGCCCTAACAATACCAAGTACCATCAGGCAACAAGAGGGAAAAATATTGCCTGGGTGGATATAATGGGGTGCCTGGGTTCTTTTATTGACACTCATTAGTTCAGGAGTGGGGAACTTTTTTTGAGTCAGGGGCAATGTTCCTGTTAAGCTTTTCCATCTATGTGTGAAATAAATTTTGTCATGTGCACGAAAGCATGTGCAGATGTGCACCACCAGTAGACAGACATGTTTTTGACTCTGGGCACTGTGGGAGCTCTGTTAATCAGCTGGGTGGCATTTGAATCTCTCCTGGGCACCCGCACACGTGCTTAGCTTACAGGGAACTCTGGTCGGGGTCACTGAGCCACAGAAAAATCAGGCGGGGGCTGCAAACAAGTGAGAAGCAAAAACAAAAAACAAAACAAAAACCCCTCACTGCTGTGGCCCCCGACTGAGAAGGAGAAGTGTTTAAAACACTCCTCACATTTCCTTCGCACACCAGAGCCTAGGGGGCCCACCCTAGTAGATTTTGTGTGCTCCAGCAGAGGAGGAGCTAGAGTGCCAGCACTGGCTCCCCAATGTTGGGCGGGGGGCAGGGAGCTGAGCCCTGAGCACCAGATCCAGGCAAGCTGGGGTCTGCATCCAGCCCCTGGGCCTTAGGTTCCTCACTCCTACATTAGCTAGAACGATTCAGAAAGCTGTGACTCATGGCAGATTTAGCTCTGATTCTAGTGGGAATTGTTCTCTGGACAGAGCAAACTGACAGAAATCCTAGAGACAGCTGAATTTATGCAGGAAAATTATTCTGAGATTCATGATAGGTTGTTTTTTTTTGAGTTACCAATAAAGCAAAACCTAAGAAGAGGGGGAAAGCTTGGACACTCACTCAAGGCCGTGTGGTCTGCTTAGAATCAACTCGTTCTGTTCATAGTTGGTCATTCCCTCAAATGGACAAAAGGTGCTGGAATCAAGCGCTGTTTTGTGTTCTTGTAGGTTCAGAGCTTGATTTCCTTCACAAGAGAGGGCAGTAGGAATGGGCGATTCCTTGAGGCACAATTTCACAGTTGCAGAGAGTTCACGGTCAGGAGGGACTTTCATCATCTAGTCTGGGGGTGGGAAAACTTTTTGGCCTGAGGGTGACATCTGAGTGGTAAATTGTATAGTGGGCCATAAATGCACATTGATCCAAGCTCCCTGCAGTGGCACGATTGGCCAGGAGGCCAAAAGGATGTGGCCAAGTGAATTGGGGAGCCCCAGAAAAATGGGTGCCCCCACAACACCAGCAGGTCTAATCCCTTGCAGGTATTCCAGCCAGGGAGCAGTGGGTGGAACTGCACGTTCAGGCTGGAGCGGTGGGTGGAACAGGGCAAGTCTCTGATTATGGCCCCTGGATGGAGTTTGAGGGCCAGATGAAAAGGTCCAATGGGCCAGATGTGGCCTGCAGGCCATAGTTTGCTCACCTCTGATCTAGTCTGACCTCTTTTATACCACACTAAGGATTGTGTATAAATTGTGGTTATCTGGCTAATCGGTAGTCAATACAATTTGTATTAGTCGATAAGGGCCGCTCTGCAGAGCTTCAGTGGGGGTAGCTTCCGGCTCCAGCTGGGAGTGAGCAGTCCTGGCTTGTGCTGGTTCCGGGAGCCATGTGTGCTGCGGCTCTGCAGTTTAAATGTAACAAGAGCCACTGGGCTGTGACTACATTTAAAATGCAGGGGCACAGCATCCTGGACCAGCGTAAGCTGGGATTTCTTGGTCCTGGCTCGTGCTGAGTCCAGCAGCTCCTGTTCACGGCAGCCAGCCCTATCCACTGCAAACAGAGGCTGCTCTGGCACCAGCCCCTGTTCATGGCCAGCCTGGGCCATCACAAACGGGTTGCTGCTGGAGCAACCTCCCCTATTTTCCCACTCCCCCATGCTGCCTCTGGTAGAGGCAGCAGGGCGGGCAGTGGCACCGTGGAGACAGTGCTGGGGGAACTGGCTTTTAAGCCGGCTCTCCCAGCACTGGCTCCTGTTCCCCACCCTTGCTGCCTCTCTTGGATGTGGGGGAGTGAATAGCTGATACTCCACTCGACTACCCGATAAGCTTATACTAGTTGACTAGTCGATTGCGCGCTAACATCCCTATACTACACATCATTAATTTTTCACCTAGATACCCCATAATAAACTGTTTAGTTAGACCGGGGTGGGGAACCTAAGTCCTGGGGGCCAGATGCAGCCCCCAGTCTGCCTGGATCTGGCCCTCGAGGCTCAGAGCTCCTCTCCCCAGCATTGGGGCACTTCAGCTCCTCTGGCACTGGACAGACAGGCATGTTAAAAGAGGCTTCTTAGTCCCACCTTAGAATACTAGCAGAAATGTGAGTGTGTGAATGAAAGAAAGAAAGAAACTTGGGGTGTTTGCTCCTCCTTTTTATAGTTTTGCCCCCCCTTTCAAAAAACCGTTTCAGATAAGAATCAGGAGACAAAGAATCTGTTTGGAAGGATGTTCCCTGCTGTTTTATCCACCTATTTGAGTTTCCTTTGTTTTCCCTTCTTGCTTAATGACTGTTTAGTGTTTAAATGTAAATTTAGGAAAACAGACTTTTAAGACAGATGTTTTTGCCTTATTCTGTCTGAGCAGGGCTATGGGGTTTGCAACATGTACTAAAATACAGGAAAATCTTATCAATTCATATGTAAAGTTACCACACATATTTTATCAGGCAGTATTGGTCAGCAAATTATACGTTTTCAAATGATACCGTACACAAAGATAATGAGAATAGTGTGTAGGTTGTGAATAAATGGGTGTATTCTGTTGCACCCTCCTTTTTCAATTACTTAATCATCTGCCACATAGCGTAACAAATGTGCCACCTTCATGATAATGAGAATCCAAACAAGGAAATATAAACTTGATTCAAAATGTCTGACATAAATGCAATACAGGGGGAAAAAATCACATTTCCCTAACTTGTTTACTTAATTAACTTTATTTAATGACATTTAAACAGAAGATTCATAAATTCAATTTTTAATGTATCAGTGCTAATAAATACAAGCTATTGTGTATGGGTGTATATCCTAAAAAAGACTTAAATGCAGAAGTTCAGGTGCACTTTTATTTCACCTCCTGTGCAGTTTCACAAGAAATTACATGTATGAATTAGCTACAGTTAAGTAGTAGTTCTGCAGAAAAGGACCTGGGGGTTACAGTGGATGAGAAGCTGGATATGAGTCAACAGAGTGCCCTTGTGGCCAAGAAGGCTAATGGCATATTAGGTTGCATTAAGAGGAGCATTGCCAGCAGATCCAGAGATGTCATTATTCCCCTTTATTCGGCTTTGGTGAGGCCACATCTGGAGTATTGTGTCCAGTTCTGGGCCCCCCACTACAAAAAGGATGTGGACGCATTGGAGAGGGTCCAGCGGAGGGCAACCAAAATGATTAGGAGGTTGGAGCACATGACCTATGAGGAGAGGCTGAGGGACTTGGGTCTGTTTAGTCTGCAGAAGCGAAGAGTGAGGGGGGATTTGATAGCAGCCTTCAACTTCCTGAAGGGAGGTTCCAAAGAGGATGGAGAGAGGCTGTTCTCAGTAGTGACAGATGGCAGAACAAGGAGCAATGGTCTCAAGTTGTGGTGGGAGAGGTCCAGGTTGGATATTGGGAAAAGCTATTTCACTAGGAGGGTGGTGAAGCACTGGAATGGGTTACCTAGGGAAGTGGTGGAGTCTCCATCCCTAGAGGTATTTAAGTCTCAGCTCGACAAAGCTCTGGCCGGGTTGATTTAGTTGGGATTGGTCCGACCTAGAGCAGGGGGCTGGATTTGATGACCTTCTGAGGTCTCTTCCAGTTCTGTGGTTCTATGATTCTATGAAAAAAGCATGTGTAACTTTTTCTGTGTAATCACTGTCCATTCTTTATATAAACTGATGTTTCTCCTTTGTTCTGTTTCCTGGTTCCTTTGTATTCTTCATAGTAACATGCAGGCACTGTGACTGTTGGTCCAAGGGTTGTCTGGTCAAACAAGATGGGTACTAAGTGACCTGTGGGGTGGATGTGGTTCGCCAGGGTCAGCCCCGGTGGGCCGCCAGATGCTTTTATTTACCTGCATGTCTGCAAATCTGGCTGCTCGCTGCTCCAACTGGCTATGGTTCACTGTGGTTTGCTGTTCTCATCCAATGGGAGTTGCAGGAAGTGCTGAGGGCAGGCTATCGCTTCCCATAGCTCCCAGTGGCTGGGAATGGTGAACCGCGGCCAACAGGAACTGCCAGTGGCTGTAGGTAAATAAAGAATCTGGCAGCCCATCAGGGGCCAACCCTGGTGAACTGCATCCAGGCCACGGGCCACTTATTGCTCACCCCAGGCAATACTTTCCTTATTCTAGTTACTTACTGTTGTTTTTATAGCACTGCAGCCATGCTATATCTACTCTTACTCCAGTTTCTTATCCAGTCATTGTCAGAAGGGGTTCTTTTGTGATGAACCAAATAGAAACTACAGCTCTGGTCCCTGCACTTATCAATGGTGATCTCCTGTGGCCTTGCAAGTTTATTATACTTTAAAAAATGTAGTAGCTTTAACCTTTAAGAACAATTGTTTATATGCTAGTTTTTATTTAATAGCAAAAACAGCTTAAAATACATCAGATGAAATAACTTATTCAAATAATAATAAAGTTTATGTAACCTGAGGAATACACTGTGGCTGCTTAATTTGTTTACCGAATATTAATAAACTAATTTTAATGGTGGCTTTTCTTTAAATAAAGACATAAATGTGTATGCTTAAGAAAGTAAAATAAGGAAGATCAAACATAAACAGGTGCCAAAGACAAACCAGATTTTAAGGAAATCATAATGGTTCTGGTATTTGGGTGTAGTTTGGAGATAATGATCCACTGAATCTGCAAGTGCAAATTTCTTTGGGCAGTAACCTAGTTGATTGCATGCCTTTTCTATTCGGAAAGTGTGCGTTACAGTGATGCTCCTCACCTGAAAAGCAAAAGAACAATTCATAGTGCTTCAAATTCAGAATTAATTTAGAACAGGTATATAAATAAATTGGTGGGATGACAGAACAAACAAGACTCGGCAACATTCAACTGGACAGAATGTTTATAAATACAAACCGGATTTCCATGGCTCAGCAAAGCCAGGCTTTGTCATCCATCAGTTCTATCAAGGGCCCTTTGCTGGAAGAACTAGGGGTATGCCTACACAGCAAAGTTATTTCGAAATAACTTTCCTAGTGTCTACACAGCCATTCTGTTATTTCGAAAATAATTCATAATAGCGGAGGGCTAATTTCAAAATTGGTAAACCTCATTCTACCAAGAATAGTGCCAATTTCGAAATTGCTATTTTGAAATAAGCGCTGTGAAGATGCTTATTTCAAAATAGGGGGCCTCCAGCCCTTCTCAGGGTGCCCTGCTGGCCGCCCTGGCCACGAGGCAACTTTTGACCTGATGTTCTGCCGGAACTGGTTCCAACCAGCCTTAAATGTGATTCAACGTCCACTCAGTGAATAGAAATTGAAAATAGAAAAACGCTATTTTGAAATGCATTTTGTGTGTAGAGGCATTATTTCGAAATAAGCTATGGCTATGCCATTTCTTTACCACCTTGTGGATTCTCCTCTGAAAAGCTACTTAAGTCAGCTTGCTATCTCTCCTGTGCATCACTGAAGCTAGAACTTGGTGCAAAATGAATGTAAAAATGCCAGAAAATCAGAATTGTAGCAGTTTACACTTGCTTTGTATAGGTTTAAGACTACAGGTTGAAACTCTCTTAACCAGGATTCTCTGGTCCAGCAACATCCCTGGTCCAGCATGGATGTTGCAGGACCAGAGAGTCCCAGTGGAGGGCCAGTGGCAAGGATCCCTGCAGGGCTGGCAGGTCAGTGGGCTGCCCGCAGCAAGCTCATGGCAGGGCCACCCAGTGCATGGCAGCAGGTCTGCTCAGCAGGGTTGGGTGACATACACACGCGTGGCTGACTGCCGGGGCTGAGAGCCGTGGTAGGTTGGTGGGGTAGGGATCTGCAGTGCACAGTTGCCCAGCAGGTCCTGGAGCCCCAGTGCAATGTGCGTGGCTGCCCGATGGGACCAGGAGCCATGACAGCAATGGCTGCCCAGAGGGCTGGCAGGGCAACGGGGCCAGCAGGAGGCGAGGCACTGGCTGTGAGGCCAGCGGCCGGGTGAGTGGGGGCCTACAGCAGGGGATCCAGAAATGACCTCCCCATATCTGGCAAAATCCCTCATCTGGGACTGGTCAAGTGCCGAGAATGCCCGACTAGGGAGGTCCAACCTGTACTCAGGGTGGGCAATGGGAAGTCAGGCATCTAGTTGTTTCTTTCCACATAGAAATACCATGTGGAGCCACTAGATGGCGATATTAAAACAAAAACACACACCACATGTAGAATAGTGATAGAAATGTAGCCGTGTTAGTCTGGGGTAGTTGAAGCAAAATGCAGGACAATGTAGCACTTTAAAGACTAACAAGATGGTTTATTAGATGATGAGCTTTCGTGGGCCAGACCCACTTCCTCAGATCAAATAGTGGAAGAAAGTAGTCACAACCATATATACCAAAGGATACAATTAAAAAAAATGAACAAATATGAAAAGGACAAATCACATTGCAGAACAGAAGGGGGGTGCGGGGGGGTGGGAAGAGGGAGGAAGGAAGGTAAGTGTCTGTGAATTGCTGATATTAAAGGTAGGGAGAGTGGGATGTTTGTGAGTTAATGGTATTACAGGTGATAATTGGGGAAACTGTCTTGGTAATGGGTGAGAAAGTTCAAAGACTTGTTAAGTCCTTGTTGGTAAGTGTCGAATTTTAACATGAATGACACACCACATGCACGCACTTGCGCCCTAACAGAGTCCCTCTCTCATTTTAATAAATATCAGCCCCCTCCAACCTGTGGATACTATTGATGTTTAGTTGTATCTAGTCTCAAATCTCTTTCTAAGGGGTTTATAAAGCAGTCATGAATTCTCTTGACTGAAATATGTCTTTTTTTAAATAAGGATGTAAACAGATTTAACATCAAAAGGCCAAATCCTGCTTATTTTCTCATTGTCTCATTGAAGTAATATGAACAAATTAAATAGGAGTTGGGCATATCATTTTAAAAAAATCCAACACTGATTTAAAAATTGTCAGTGATGGAGAATCTACCTCCAGATCTTGGTAGGTAGTTGCAATGATTGGAACTCCTACATTATTCTCATAATCCCCTGTTCTCTAGCAACATTTACACCAGTGTAAAACTGGGAATAATACATTGGTGAATCAGGCCCACTCTCTGCGCACAATCTGTGCTTGACTTCAGATGATACTGTGTAGACACATGTATAGGAAAATAAGGATTAATTAGGATTTCTCCACTGGGATTTTTATAACATTTAAAATAGCTATGATTCTAACATTTGAAAAAAATCAGTTGTAACTCCTGAGCCCTATGAGTGGGTGGACATAGGTGTATCTTTGCCTCTATGTATTGCAGAATATAGTAATGTCAAAACCACACATTTGCATGGTTTCTGTATCATGTGTCTTTCTTGTATCATTAATATTGTGGGGATTATCTTGATTCATGCCGTGTTTGCTGGATGTGTTGAGATAAGGCAATAAAACTGGTCACATTCTCGTGCATTTTGGTAAGCACACAGTTTGAATTTGAGCTACTTAGAATGAATCTAGTTTAAAAGTGCTCCACCTCATCTTTTTTTAAAACTATAATTACAAAAAAAGTGGTTAAAGGCAAAAAAAATTAATGATATATAGACTTTAAATAACCAATAATTTTTTTTAAACAATCTTACATCCAGTTAAAGCCACTCATATTGTCCAAGTATTGAAAAGATCTCAGGACAGTGCTTTATATTACATGCTGCAAAACACCGTTTTACCAAATGCCAGCCAAGTTCTGCTCTTGGCTCTTCTTTGCACCCAAGAGCCTAACCTGGCTCTAAATTCTTGGGTGTGAGTTTATGTGAAACCTTCATCTGTTTCCTTTTTTAAATAATTAAAAATGAGAAGAACTTACAAAATGTCAGCACTGATCCCTAACCCTAACTCTAACTCATCAATCCCAAAATGAATCTAGGTTCAGATACTGCTTCCTCATGGGAGCTCAACTGGCAACTGGAAAGGGCGTCACACTCAGCCCGAGTTGCAGTTCTGAATGCAGAATGACTGCAGGACTGGCTCACCAATGATTAGGCAAGACTACCTCTCCTGTGGCGTTTCCTCTAGGATGGAGGAGAACTGTATACAAAGCCTCCCTTAAAGAAAAGGAGGGTTTCCTTCCGGAGTTCCCTGGATATTGTGGAGCTTGTCAAAATGTTTCTGATGGAATGTTTTGCTGTTTTGTCCTTTCATGATGTGATAGTTCATGTCCTATTAGAAATGTTGTACCTCCCTAGTCCTGCACCCTCAGGAGTTTATTGGTCCTGAACCAGGGAATCTGCCATATCAGGGAGGTCAGTGCTGGCTCCTCAGCTCCAGACTTTATACAGATAAGTAAGTATACATTTATAGTTTTACCTCATTTCTGGTCAGGACAGGTGTAAACTTAAAAACTGGTTTTAGTGCCAGGTGCAGGAATTCCAGCAGGATGGCTGTGGACAAAAAGTTGCTAAAATGAGGTAACAACAGTAAAGTGAGCACAATGGCTGCAGCGCAAATAAAATGGGCCAAACATTGGCTGGGCTTGCTGAAGGAGTATGGCTCTGCATTATGGCTGGGAGGACACGAGATCAGAAACTGCTGAAAAAGGTGGACAGTGGTCAGCTTTATGGCACTGACTCACCCCCTCCCCTCAAGGATGTGAGGTCTGAAGGACTTAACGGTGCAAGCCCTGGGCAGGGAAAGCCTCTTTGTTCCACACAGCAAGCAAAGCAGCATCCACCCTAGTGGAGGCAAATATCAGGCTGGGTTAGGACCTGTAGTGGCCTTTATGCTAGATGTGCCTTTTTAAGTGGGGGCTGGGAAGGATTCTTTCCTGGCACCACCATATTGGCTTCAGTGGAGTGAGGTTTTTTTCACCTTCCCTAGAGCAGCCATTGGGCAGGATCTCATAAGTCTGTATGTCACAACTTATTTTGTAAGGATTGGGGCGATTGTCCAGCCCAGGTACTCCACAGGGAAGGCATCCAGTGACCAGATAAATGGTCTGGTAAAGAATTTAAAAGGAGGTGTTGGATAAAGGAACGGAATAGGTGAGAAGAGCTGGGGACTCCTATGATTGGTATGGTATGGAGCCAACCTCCCTACCACTCCCCCCTCCCTGTTCTCATAGCCCACCATAACCCTCTTATGAGGGCAGTGGATGGTAGAGTCCATGGATTGGCTGGGGGACCTGTGTACTGTATCAATGAAATGGGATGGTGGAAGCCCTAGGTTATGATTCAAATAAACACGGATTTGCCTGCACTGTCCACATTATCAGCCAGGCAGTCCAGACATCTGTATAATAAAGTGGTAGCCTGATTAAAATCCGTATCAAATGTCTCTTGTCCTTTTGGTTTACCCAGGCAACACAGGGCTTGTTTTTGCTGCCCCCCTCAAAAACCACATTTTTTTTACTTGGGGGTAACCAATGTAGATGAGTTCAAGAGATTAAAAACACAGTCAAGACAAAGTACTTTAGTTTTACTGTGAAGTAAACTCATTGAAGTCAGCCCCACATGGGGTAGAGGATAACCTTCAGGAGTTTCATCTCACGGTAAAACTAAAGCACCTTATCTTCATTATGTCTTTACCCGAGGATAGCTCACTTATGTTAGTTACCCTGAAGTAAAAATACCTGGCTTTTTTTATTGGTGAAGCCAAGCCCATGGTGATGACAGGTGGTGTGGGCTAGATCCTGTTTGTTGCATACCGAGCACACCCATTGATTGCAGAAGGTGCTTTGGGTTTGCTACAGAAGGAGGATCCAAGCTTTTGAAAACAATTTCCAAAATATTTGATGAACCCAAAGATACTTATTTCCTTTGGTAGGGAAGTACTTAACCCCAGTTAGTACAATTGCACAATTATTGTAGGAATTGCACAAGTTTAAATCTGTATATTCCTTTTAGAGAACAGCTGTGCAGTTTACCAGTGACAGCGGAAATAAAAGAGGAAATGCAAAATAAAACAGCATAATAATCAGCTATTTTACTCTTTTTACCTGTTGTATAAATGAGGAAAGTAGGAATATGTATCCATGGTTTACTGTAACCTAATTTTTCAAACTGGGAGGGATTTAAAAGAAAAGAGATTAAGAACAAAGTATTTATACTAAATTGGTGAATGTCAGTACAGCAAGAATATGCAGAGATTATAAATCTGAACTGCCCCAAACTCAGCTATTACTATTTTTAAAAAGTTTCAGATGAACAACCCTATGCCTGCCAACACAATTAGACTATGAAATAGCTTATTTTGAAATAGCACATCTACACTGCAGGGAAACCTCAAAATTAGTCCGAGGTAGGCTTCCCTAAAATAGACGTGCTATCTCGATATAGAGCCCCAGGAGGAATAACTTAGAATGGCCCTGGTGAGGGGCTATTTCGAAATAGCAGCAGTGGAGCATCTACACACGCCTTATTTCGAAATAGCTGTTTGCAGAAGTCAGAATAACCCATCCGTTATTTCAAAATTATTTCAAAATAACGGAATTGCTGTGTAGATGCTTGCATCATTATTTTGGAATAACGGCCGTTATTCCAAAATAACTTTGCTATGCAGACACACTCTTAGACAGCACTGGCAGGGATATCTATTTTAAAAAAGAGGACATGAGCAGTGCATGTTCTATATCTTGAGTACAGTCGTGACGTTTATTGCGTTGATGTTATTCGGGAGTTTTCTCTGTGCTTACACTATAGGGTGTGGCTCTTAGTGGAGGTTTACAATCCTAGTCTGATAATTATGACCTTTTCCTGCTGCTTCTGTTTTATGTTTACAATGAAATTTAGGAGAATAGTTGTCCATGGCCTTGCATCTTGAGGAACCATTTACAACAATGACTCTGAACCCTGATGCTACTCCAAATAAAAATGACTTCACAAGGCAGTGAAGAATCAGGATTTACCATTATGAGCTAATTTAATTAAAAGGACACATCTAAAACAATGGGAACCAATGGGAGTTTGTCTATATGAGCTTTATAAGCTAAGATCTGTGAGAGTGCAGGGTTAGGTTCTGATGTGATAAATAGAAATTGTAAAAATGTAGGGCTGGAATCGAAGGGATCTCGATAGATCATCTAGTCCAGTCCCTAGCACTAAAGCAGAACTGAGGTTATATTTACACTTTCAGAGTTTTTGCATGATCAGTTGCACCAGGGATAGGGACTTGGTAAAAGAGTTTCAAAGTTCCTATGACTTTACTGGGGAAGCGGGGAGGGCGGGGAGGGCGGGAGAGTTGGATGTCGGTTTACCTGGTGTCAGAGCAGCAGAGATTCTGGCTACAGTGGGATATCCTAGGCACTGTGGGATATCCTGCAGAAGCTAAAAACTCTGTATACAGCAAGAACATGTCTTCACTTGCACATGACTGCAAAAGTATCACCGGGAATAGCTGTACATATCTCATGGAGGTTTTTTGGTTTTTTTTCCCCCTAGTGAAACTCCAGTAAAAAGTTATTGGCAAGTGTCAGTGCAGCCATGGGTTTTGTGCCAAAAAGGAACTTTTTTTCCCTGATATGAATGACAAATGTAGACATGTGTGTTGTCAGGGGCATCTGAGAGGTGATTATCTAACCTGTTTTTAAAAATCTCTTGTGATGGAGATTCTACAAACTCCCTAGATAATTTGTTCCAGTGCGTATCTACCCTGACAGTTAGGAAGTTTTTCAACCTAACTGTTCAACCTAAATCTCCTTTGCTGCACTTTAGTCCCATTACTTCTTGTCATGTCCTCAGTGGATAATGAGAACAATTTATCACCTTTCTCTTTGTAACAACCTCTTATATACTTGAAGACTGTTATCATGTCTCTCCTCAACCTTCTGTTTTCCAGACAATAAACCCAGTTTTTCTAGTCTTTCCTCATAGGCCATATTTTCTAGTTCTTTAATAATTTTTGTTGCTCCTCTAAATTTTCTTCAGTTAGTCCACATCTTTCCTACAGTGTGGTTCCCTGAACTATTTCAGTTGTGGCCTTATGAGCATTGAGTAGAGTGGAAGAATAATGTCTTGTTTACCACACTCCTGCTAATACACCCCAGAATGAAATTTGCTTTTTTTTTTTTTAGGGGGGCAACAGTATGACATTGATTCATTTAGTGTGTGATCCATTATAATCCCCAGTAATGGAAACCCTCATGATTCACAGAATTGCTGTTCATGGTTCTGTATATTCACAGGGATCTCCTATCCCACCCTGTCACTGTGGTTCCTGGCTTCTAGTTCCTCATGGTTGCTCAGATCCATGGTGAGTTTCCTATGGCTTCCAACCCCTGTGGTGAGTTTCCCACAGCTCCTGGCCCCCACAGTGAGCTCAGGAGCCATGGGGAGTTCATGGTGGGGACCAGGAACTGCAGCTTCCAGTATTTGCAAATTTTGCCATTGGCAGTGGTACCAGGAATGCATCCACTGTGAATGGCGAGGTGTTTCATGTACACCTTCTTATAGGTGAAACTGATTATTCCTCCCTCAGGCCATGTCTACACTGGAAAACTATTTCAAAATAACTAAATTTGATTTAACTCCTGATTTTACAAAATCAAAATAGTGTGTCCCCACTATGAGGAAGCCTTGAAATTAGTCTGAGGCAGTCTGTTCATGTGGACATGCTACCTCGACTTAGAGCCCCAGGAAGTGCTGGGGGGAGGGAGGAGGTGTAATTAGTTTTAATTACTCTGGGGAGTAGTTATTTCAAAATAGCAGCACTGGAGCATCCACACTAACACTATTCTGAAATAAGTGTTATTTCCCGAGAAAAGCAGGAGTACAGATTTCAAAATAAGCAGGCTCTTATTTCATAATATGGGCTTGGTAGTGTGGACTCTCTGCTTATAAATTTGACCTAAGGGGGGTTATTTTGAAATAAAGCCATACTGTAGACCAGGGCTAAGTGTAATACTTTGCATTTGTCCTTATTGAATTTCACTAAGTTTAAATCAGACCATTTCTCCAGTTTGTCAAGTTCATTTTGAACTCTAATCCTGTTATCTAAAACACTTGCAGCCTCTTCCAGCTTGGTATTATATATAAAAATGTATAAATATTCTTTATGTAATTATTCAACTTATTTATGAATATATTGAATAGAACCAATCCAGGACAAATCCCTGGGGGATCCTCTCAGTATGCCCTTCCAGACTGATTGTGAACTATTGATACTTACTCTTTGTTTGCTTTTCCAGCCAGTTGTGCACCCACCATATCAAAGGTTTGTTTAGGCCAGTGATACTCAGACTAAGACTTGCAAACTACAAGTGGCTCTTTAATGCATCTTCTGCAGCTCTTTGCAGCATATGATATTAAATACTGTGTGATTTAATTATTAAGCAATCAGGATGATTTTACTATGTAATTAGTCAACTGTAGTTGATAAAGCACGTGGTCCGTCATTTTTGCTGAAAGAATATTATACTACAGTAAAACTCCAATAGTCCAGCATCCAATAGTCCGGCACTCCTGATAGTCCAGCATCAAAATGGCAAGAACCTAGTGAGTGAGCTTCGGCAAAAAATGAGTCACAAGGTAACAGCGGCAGCAGCTGAACTGAGCAAAAAGGGTAAAAAAGGCTTAAAAAACCTAAAACATTACAGTATACTGTATACAGTACAGGCAGTCCCCGGGTTACGTACAAGATAGGGACTATAGGTTTGTTCTTAAGTTGAATTTGTATGTAAGTCGGAACTGGCTCCAGATTCAGCCGCTGCTGCTGAAACTGACCTAGTTCCATTTTTGGTATGTGTAGGTTTTTAAGAAACTTTTTAAAGCAGCACAAGTGTTGGTTTCCTTTAAATAACCACAGTTTAAAACTCAAGTCAGAGGTGGGTTCAGTCATTTGCTTTTAAAATGATTAGGACAGATTCTGATAATTATATCCCAGTGTAAACCCACTGAAGGCAGCTGTGTTACTCAGGCTTTATACTGGTGTAACTGAAATGAGAATCTGCCCTACTGTATTTATCATTCATTGTTTTTACATAGATGTGTTACTAAAGCATGTGGTCTCAGCTGAAGAAAATATAAAGAAACACAAGAGTTCTTAGGGTACCGTATTTTCCAGCGTATAAGGCGACTGGGCGTATAAGGCGACCCCCTAATTTTTTAGTTAAAAGATAGGTTTTCGTCTTATACCCCAGCGCCCCTCCGCCTCCCCGGCTTTGCTCCCGGTGTCCCTGGTCTGCTGCAGATGGTCCCCAGCAGACCAGGGACACCCGGAGCAAAGCCGGGGAAGCGGAGGGGTGTCCCTGCGCTGCGGCTTTGCTCCCAGTGCCTCTGGTCTGCTGGTGATACAGCAGGGCCAGAGAGCAGTAGGAGAGTAGTAGAAGAGATATAAGCCCTCATCTAATAAAGGCAGGGTTCCCTGTACTCTAGGGAAGGCTACTATAGGTCAATTGAAGCATCTGTACCCAATTAAGTCCCTGTCAGGAAACGAATAACCTTCCCCCCCACACACACACTTTAAGCAGACAGGGTGGAATGAGGAAGGAGAGAGGACTGGAGGTTGGAGCTATGTTGTTGAGATTGGAAAGACCAAAGAACTGCGGGGAAGGGAGACCCTGTCCCAGCACTGCCGGTAGACTCCTTCCAACAGCATCAAGGACTGAGGGTAACCCTGCCCGGAAGGGCAGGGGGCAGAGGGTAAAAATCTGCAGTGGTTGAGAGGGAGTGGGGTTCACACCTTGATCCCTTCTCCTGGGGCATGAGCCAAGTGCACAATGCCCAAGAATACAGTAAGATGTAGCATCAATATTGCCTCTAATCTTTTTCATCCATGTGTGGAATAATATTTTTATGTGCATTGAGGCATGTGTGAATGTGCACCAGCAGTAAAAACAAAAAAAACCTCACTGTGGGCATTCTGCTAATCAGCTAGGTGGCATTTGAATCTCTCCTGAGTGTCCTTGCCAGCACATAGCTTATAGGGAATACCGGATGGCACCCTGACCCCCGCCCTCACCAACGGGAGGCATGGGACCCTCCACAGCAATTCTATCCATTTACCACTAATAATCTTACAGCCAAAATGACTGACGTTTACAGTAAATTGAACAGTGAATTAACGTTACTGTGACTCCGTGGGGTAATGTTGATTGCTAATTTGATTCCTGCACAACTAAGGTCTGAGTATCACAGGTCTAAGATACGTTTTTCTAGTTTTAGAGGGCCATCTGAAATAGTGTCTTTCAAAGCCTTACTACAATCAAAATGTATCAAACGTATGTCTTAAATATAAAAATGTTTTGAGTTTTGCTTCTTCGGGTAATTACTGTGGCATTGGCTTTATTTAGCTGATATAGTCTTTCTAAATTAGTTGTATGTTCAAGTCCCTTGAACAGTATTAGGGAACAAAATACACCTTGTGGGCTGGATCTAGTCTGCCACCATCCCGTGGCCTGCAGGGGCCATGTGAGTCTTTGTGTGCTGTCCCTGAACCCAGCACAATCTCGCAGCTCCCAGTGGCAAGAAACTGGACAATGGGAGCTGACTGGGTCATGCTTGCGGCACAGGTAGTGGGTCTACAAGGGGACATGGAGCACATGGCCTCAGCAGCCAGCCATTTTCAGGGGTATGTGGGGGCAGGAAGCCTGCCTGAGGGTCCTGCTGGCTAGGAACTGTCTAAGGTAAGCGCATCCCAGCCAGAACCTGCACCTGATACTCCATCCCCTAATGCACCCCAACTCCCTGGTCACAACCCAAACCATTAGCACCCCTGTTTTTGCACCTATCCCTCTCCCAAACCCTTCACCTCCCTCTTACACCCCAATGAATTGTCTCAGGTCATAATCCCTTCCTGGCCTAGGTCACAACCCAAACCTCTGCACTCCTGCCTCAGGTCACAACCCCCTCCCAGACTCTGTACCCCCCCTACGCCTCTCTTCCAGATCAGGATACTCTCCTGCACCCTTGCATCCCCTACCATTCCACAATCTCTTGCCCCTCCTTCACCCAAACTCATTCCCACTCCCCACACCTCTTCCTGCACCTCAAACCACTACCCTGATCTCCCTTCTGCATTCAGCCTCCATTAATATCATGGAAGAGTGTGGCCCTCAAATTCTTGTAGTGCTCCCTCCATCAAAAATGATTGCCCACCCCTGTATTAAAACTAAACATGCACATAGTACATACTAACGGAGTTATCCATTCAGAAAAGAGGACATTCTCGCCATCATTTATGTAATAAGCCTGACCACTCTGTTAAAAAAGCAGAGAAAAGACAGATTAGAATAATACTGAGCATGAGTGACATTTACTTTTAAGAATATCTTTATTCATTTTGTAATAAACAGCAACATAATTAAAAGCAAACAGATCAACAAGCATCCTCTATTGGAACTAATTCTGATCCTTCTGTAAGTTTTACGCATCTTTAAACTCACTTAATAGAGTTACTCATGATTTATTATACTGTTATATAAAAATGGCAGTGTCAGGTTCATTATGTTAGGACTTCTACTAGAATTAATACGCTCAACCTCATTATCATAGCACTGAGGTTGTTCTTTATATTTTTGCAGGAGCCAAAAATCATGCTATGTACCATGAATTCACTAGAGTTGGCAATACTAGTATGTGAGTTAATACAACTTCTTAATGTCACAGTCTCTTTGACTTGTTAACTTCCTGCTTTTAAAAAACAATGGCATGTTAATGGCTCTACCTTAGAAGCATTACTGTCACTAATTAATATTTACTATGGATTTATACTAGAACAAATATACTTCTGATGTTCTCAAGAGTGAATTCTGCCCCTCCCTCCCACATACATGAAGTGGTTCACAGATTCCGCCTTAAACCAGAACAAGACCTGGGTTAATGATGCCCTGCCCTGCAACAGTTGCAGGGCATACTCCATCTTAAATGGGCATTGGTTGGTTAGAAGGAGTTACAGCAGGGATGGGCAATAATTTTTGACGGGGGCCACTCCAAGATTTTGGAAAGTGCTCAAGAGCTGCACTCTTCCATGATATTAATTCATCATGGAACCCATAGAGGTTGGGTGCAGAAGGGAGCTTGGAGTAAGAGATTGGGGTGCAGGAGAGGGTTTGGAGTCTGGGAGGGAGTTTGGGCTGTCATATGGGTGGAAATTGGGTAAATATTGCATTGTATTATTAGTAGCAGAGCTGGCATAAATGGGACCCGTGTGTTGTGTAGTCTTGCCTTAATCTTTGTATTCATGCCCGTCAGTGTGAAAGACACTATTTGTATATATATTTGCATGTTTATGCAACCACACTTAAGTTGCGGCCCTCGGCATGTGCTGTGAGTATCATTATGTCCCCCGGGGCTTCCAAAGTTGAGAAGCCCTGGTCTAGACAGGGGCAGCCTGTCCATATAGGCGAACTAGGCGGTTGCTTAGGGCACCAAGTTAAATGGGGCGCAATGGGGCGCCAAATGGTGGCACAATATCATTGAGGGGTTTGGAGGTGGGGGCGCCGATTGCATGGTTTGCCAAGGGCGCCAGTTGTTGGCAGCTAGTCTAGGGCTGCTCCTGGGTCTAGATCAGTGTTTCTCAACCTTTTTCAAAAAAAATTAAAAATTATAAATATCCCCAGTACCTACAGTTTTCAGACACACACAATTTTTTCTACCACTGCAACACATTTGTTTAAACAACTTAATCGTAGCCAGGCAGGTGACGAAATTTTTGGGTGTAAAAAGTACAAAAATAATAAAGCGCTGTAAAACTAAAAACAAAAATTCAGTTTTCTCCAAATTTCAGTTGTGTTGACGTACCCCCCAGACTTCTCTTGAGTACCCCTAAGGGCACTCATACCACTGGTTGAGAAACACTGATCTAGATCATCCCTGACTGGTGTCTAGTATGAGTGTGGGATGAGTGATTACAGAAATTTGGAAGCTGTGATCCATCTCCCTCTCCTGTTTGGAGTTGGGAACTTATAAGAGACTCCCCTCCCAAAAGTGGACATTGTCTCTCTCCTCCCTGCCCCAAGTAGACTCAGCTGTTACTACTGGCTGTGACCACATCTAAAAACGGAGGAGCCACAACCTGGTAGGAAGTGACCTAGGTCAGGACACTATGGCGTGGGAGGGCCTAAATCCCTCTCCCTTGCTTCCACTCCACTGTTGTGACAGAAGAAGAGGGCAGAAGAGAGGACACAGGAAGGACTGAGGCCTACCATAGTTGGCCTAGCAGGACCCTGTCCAGAATGAGAAGACTGCAAAAGAACTTTGGTGCCACTGTTTGACCACTAGGCCAGCTGTCTATTGGACTGAGCAGCTACACCACACAAATATTACTGCTTCCCCCCCACCCAACAAATTCAGCACTGACGTGATATGGAGTAAAAAAAACCTGAAATTTGTCAGGGAAATGGCCCAGAGTAAGGAGTTTTGAGTGTTAGATTGGATTTGATTAAGTTGTTCAGGTTTGAAACCTTTCAGGGCGGAATATTCTGTTTATCCATATGGCTGTGTTTCTCAAATCCTACTCTGCCAGCGTTGCAGAAGTATCAAGAATCTATTAGCCAGCTCAGAAAACTTCTACCAATTCTTCCTTAAACACCAACACACGGTCGGGTCCTGTGGGTTTGAATCAGTTCTGCGGGGGCTTCAGGAAGTCATTGAACTCCAGTCCTCCAGTGGCAGCTGACGGACAGCTGTTGGGATCAGAGTCCCTGAAGCCCAACTGGGGCACAAGCCCTTCCCTTACTCTGCCAGAGAGGTCCAAGGCTCCTTGTTGGGCTGCAGTCCCTATTTAAGCCAGAGGAGGAAACAGGAAGTTGTTTGCACAAATGAGCTTCATCCTGCCATGGGACAAGGGGATGGTGTTTTCCACTTGTACTTCCTAGTATCCTGACTTGGCCTGGCTCTGCGTAGCAGATTATTGATCTCTGTCTTCCTGTTGATCTCCAGATTCTGTGCTAGTGGCTTTCCAACCCTGCCTGATTCCTGGTAATTGGCTCTTGCTCATTGGACTCTCAGCCTGCAGCCACTGCTAAACCTTCAGCCAGGCTGCTTCTCTCAGCTGTGAGCTCCCCCTGTCCATAGAACTACACAAATAACAGATACACCATCTCTCCATTTTACAACCCCTATTCAAACCCCTCCCCTTGTGTGTCTGATGACCACCTCAATTCATCCTCTTCCTCCCCAACTCTCAGTCATCAGTCCTCCACAAGTTGCACCTTTGTAACTCTTACTACCAACTCATCAGTTCTGTACTTGCAAACTGATCCGCTCTCTTTTCCTTACCCCTCAAATTAGTCAACTCACATTTCACACTCTATCAACACTCCCCAAATTCAACATTTCTCTTCTCTCTTCCCTCCTTTTTCTCCAAATTGATCAATTCTCTTCCTTATCTCACTGCCTGGTAATATCTCTTCCAAACTGACCAAGCTACCTTAGCCCCTCCAAGTTGGGCCTCATCCTGGCTATAGTAGCTGTCTGAATAACTTCCCCAAAGCTGGTGTCTCAAGACACCTCCTGGGGGCAGGAAACTTTTCCTCCCTCTTGTTGCTATGCTTGCATCACTTCCAAAGACTTGGTTTTAAAGGTTGATGTCTATAGTCTCCCTGGAGAGATGGTAGAGGGTAATAAAAGGAGTTTACTGCAGGGGCAGGCAACTTGTGACTCTGGTGCTGCACAGCTGTCAATGGCCGTGATGTCATCATCGGGAGCCCGGGCCAGCGGCGCCCTAGGCAACTGCTTAGTTTGCCTAGGCTCACAGGCCACCCCTGCTGGAGCCACTTGTGGCTCTTCTGAAGTTAATATGCGGCTCCTTGCTCAGGCACCAACTCCAAGGCTACAGCTACAGGTGCCAGCTTTCAAGTGTTCAACTCCTGGCTCCACCTCCCCTCCAAGTGTATTGCGCCCTCGCTCCTTCCTTCCCCCACAGAGCTTCCTGAGTGCCATGAAACAGCTGATTGCTGTGGGCAGGAGGTGTGGGAAAGGAAGAGGAGGCACTGATTGGTGGGGCTGCTGGTGGGCAAAAGATGCTGGAGATGGGAGAGGAGGCATCTGATGGGGATGGCTGACAAATTACGGTAGCTCTTTGGCAATGTACATTGGTAAATTGTGGCTCTTTCTCAGGCTCAGATTGGCCACACCAGGTTTACTGGGACTGGGTCTTAGCTAACTGAGGATGAGAATAAATCAGCCTGGCTCAGAAAAGGTGGAACTGCTGATCTTACCTTAACCATAAGTTCAGGGCAGGGAATACCCCATGGAGCCTGGAGGATTCATATAGAGTGACTGCAGCTATTTCTATATTAACTCAGCTGTAGAACTGAGTCTGGAGAGGTACAATCTATGAGCCTGACTGACAGGGGCAGATGACCATTTCACGGGGCCAGGGCAGCACAATTTCGCGGGGCCCCCCTTTTCCACAGCGCATGCGCGGGGCTTCTTGAAGCGCGGGGCCCCGGGCGGCCGCCCCGCTCGCCCTGCCCTATATACGCCCCTGCTGACTGACACTGGAGCTGCCAAACAGTGTGAGTGCAGATGCTGCTGTAACACTGTCAGGCATGTGTTGGGTCATGCTCTCAAATTTCTTTATAGTTGTGACAAAAGTCTTAAGTAAGTATTCATAAGTGTCCACTAATTTTGATTATCCACATTTTTGGGAATGTTGAGATGTACAGATCAGGTCCAAAATGTTTCAGATTGTTTAATGAAAAATGTACATGTCTAGAATCAAACCTGCTTTGGGGAAAATAATAAAGAAAAAATGTAATTCAGGAGAATTTGATGATTGCTATATTCACTTGGGAAAGATTCCTACGCCACTGGGGCAGGCAGGAATCCCTACCTTTACAAAGTGAGCTTACAAGACAAAGATACAACACAAAATGTTTAACAAGATGAATAGGAGCTGCATGCACAACAAGGACATTTTGCATGTGGAATTGTGCAGTTTGCAAATGTAGTACTTTTAAGACTATAGCAAACCAACTTACAGTTTGATCCTAAAGCCACAGAAAGTGACCCATATTTTAAAATTATATCCAACTGGGTAGGACATTTAAATTGTTTACTTACCGCTTTATAACCCTTCTCAGGGGTGAGAGTTTCAGCAGCTAAGAGATGAGCTTGTATAAGATTTTTTACATGAACCCAGTTCATCTGAGATTTGGGATTTCCAAAATGGATGTTAAATAGTCCTCTTTGGATATTCTTCTGTGGAAACAGGCAGCATATGCAAAAAGCTGAAAAACTAAAAGCAATTTTTAAAAAGTAGCTGGAATCCTGCCAAACAAACAGTTGGTCCACTGGATGACTGAGGAACTAAAGAGCACTTGAGGAAGACAAGGCCATTGTGGAGAAGCTAAATATATTCTCTGTATCCGTCTTCACTGCACAGGATGTGAAGGACAATCCCACATCTGGGCCATTCTTTTTAGATAACATCTGAAGAATTGTTCCAGAATGAGGTGTCAATAGAGGAGGTTTTGGAACAAACTGATTAAAGAAACAGTAATACGTTTGCAGGACCAAATGATATTCACCGGAGAGCTCTGAAGGAATCAAATAGTTCTCCAGGAACGTAACCATGGAATATAAACTATCACTTATATTAGCTTCTGTACTAGATGACAGACAGATTGCTAATGTGATGGTAATTTTCTAAAAAGTGCCAGAAGCAATCCTGACAGTTACAGATCAGTAAGTCTAACTTCAGAATCCAGCAAAATTGATAGAAGATGCCTGCTAGATGGTGGGACAGGATAAGAGGGCATGGATCGCTGACTGAATGGACCCCTTTTTTCATGTCCAACACACTATTGTAGTAATCTTTGCATAGAATATGCCTTGTGACATATTGAATGAAAATTAACTCATTGATCAATAACATGGTGAAAAGCATGTTGCAATACATATAGCAACATTATGTGTTGCGTTATAAACACAATGAAATTCATACATGGCACGCTCTTTATGAAATGTCACAATCATAAACAGATGAGGTTCAATGCATCACAGTAATTATCATGTAATCTGGCATGTGGATAAACCAGTCTTTCAAAACGAAGAACAAGGTGATGCCAAATTTGTCATCAAAGTTGATGGGCAATCACCTGTCAAGTAAAAACAACACAGAGTCCTATGCCACCTTAGGGTATATCTACACTGCAGGGCTTAACTTGAAATAAGCTATGCAAATTGAGCTACATCAACAGTATATCTTATTTCAAAATAGCTTATTGTGAAACAGGGAGAGTCCACACAGCACTTATTTTGAATTAGAGCGCTCTTCTTCCGACTTCCCTTATTCCTCATACAATGTTACAGGAGTCAGAGTAAGAAGTCCTCCAGCTTGACAGTATTTCAACACTGTTTCGAAATAACTGCCTGCTGTGTAGACGCGGACTAAGTTATTTTGGAATAGTGCTAGTTATTTCAAAATATTGTTGCAGTGTAGGCATACCCTTAGAGACTAACAGATTTATTGATTAGGCCAAGGAACTCCTTGTTGTTTTTGCAGATATAGACCAGAATCAGGGCCGGACTGAGGCATGGACGAGCTGGGCAGCGGCCTGGAGTGCCTGATGGCAGCTGTAAGGGGTGCGTGGCGTCCCTTACAGCTGCCATCAGGCGCTGCAAGCCAGTTCCCGTAGCGCCGGCCCTGCAGCACCAGCCAGCAGTACCCTTCCCCCCCATGGCTGCGGGGCTTTGCATGGCCCGGTGCGCGCGCCAGCAGCACTAGCTAGGCCAGGCTGGGCAGCACATGCACCGTGAGCCCTGTGGTCGGGCCCTGGGCTGCGCACCAGTGGCTGTGGCTGGCCCACACATGTGCTGTGCACCCTGCGGGGGGATGGGCCCACGCCCCATGGGTGGGCCTGCGCATGCACTGTGCGCCTGGGGGTGGCGCCGCGTGCCCGGGTCCAGGCACCAAAAGGGCTCGGGCCGCCCTGACTAGAATGGCTACCCCTCTAAAACCTGTCAAGTGGTCATTCTACAGCAAAGAAGCGGGGGCCAGAACATATAAATTTCTACATTTTAGCAAAGGGCATGAAATCTTTCACCACAAGACTCCATAACTCCAACCCCAATGAATTTTATCTAGAGTAGCCTTCAGGAAAACTCATTTCAAAGGGTGACGGGGTTATAAAAATGAGAGGCAAAAACACCCTCAGAGATCTCTCCTTATCTCTTTTACTTAAGATGAAAAGGGAAGCAATCATTTGATTTTGGAAGATATCCCAACCTGAAATTTCTTCAGCTCTGTCTAGTTTGTTAAAGATTAGCAAGAGAAATAAAGATAAAACTCTTTCTTTTGTGACCATTTCTGACTTCCATGCCTTATACTTGTATACTCGTAAAACATCTCTCTTTTCAATTAAATACATGTATTTTATTCTTTAATCAAAGCTAATCCAGTGTTGTCTTTAAACTGAACTCTGGTAACTCCATTTAAAGTAGCAAATGGTTGTACATTGACAGGGGAATGGACATCCAATATCAAGACTATCCAGTGCAAAACATATGTTTTTTGAGGGGAATGTGTGGGACTAGAGTGTAATGGTATCAGCCTGCAAGTGCTTACCAAGGCTGGTGGAAGCCATAGTGGGACTAGAGAGAGGTGGCAGGGTTCAGCTGTACATATTCAGGGTGTTACCTCCATTCTGCAATGCTGCAAGTGGCCCAGATAGGAGCTACAGCAGCAAAACATTGTGAGGTATCCAAAGTCACAGGGCAGGTGATGACAGAACTGCTCTGGATTGCACCTCACAATGTGACAGAATCACTTGATAATTGCCCTGTTCCATTAATTCCCTTTGAAGCATCTGGCATTGGCCCCAGTCATAAGACAGGATACTGGGCTTGACCCACAATTGGTCTGACCCAGTATGGCTGTTCTGTTCTTTTTATGCATGAAAGAACTGTAGAAAGGGTGTTGATTTGCTAAGCAATATGATAATTTAATTAGTTGTTGTCTACAAATCAAATGTTTGTCTCTTTTAAAATCAAGATATGAAAGATGACATCAGGAACATTTAATTATAGCTACACGATACAGCAATGGTCTGATTAAACAATAGTAAAATAGGATTGTATTTCAGGATTTTTCTAGGAATATTTTACACTGACGTTTAAGTGCTTACTCAACAAATTACTGTCTGCATAATAACCAGTGATGCAGGTGTAGCTCTTCCTTCACAACACTGTTGTTTTGTTTTTCATCAGAAAAATTCATGTTCCTAATTTCCATTCCCATCATCCTCCAGATATGCTAGTTGTCAGTTTGCATCATGTGATCTACAAAGGGCTGTCTGAGGATCTGTTTAGATCACTAACCAGCATACTAGCTTTTGTATTGAATGTTTTAGACTTAAGCCACACGGGTACTATAACATTTGTAATGCACTCCAGTGTTTATAATATAATACCTACTACTACTCGTGGCAGATGTCTTTGCTCTCCTGGTCCATAGATGCCTGGTGGGCGAAGAACACATGTATGGAGCTTCTCACCTCCTAGGAGATGTGATGAAATGTGATTTTTCAAATAGTTTCTGTATTAGTATATGACAGTTTATCTGCTGTATATATTCTGAAAACCACAAGAGGACCCGATCTCTTTCTAGTAAATTCTCAATCTTATTTTAAAATGTGAATTTAATATTCATGAAAAATCCCGAATTTAGTACTCAGGTGAGTCCCAAATTGAAATTCTGACTATAAAATAGCTGGAAAGTGGAGCATCTTACAAACTTCCCCACCAATGTAACCTTCATAGCTAACATGCAGGGGCCACCTCTTACATTCTATCTACATTTATAAAATAGATGCCAAGTCATCATGCACACAGAACATTGAAAAGCACAGTATCTAACATAACTAACTATATTCAAACCCCTCCTCTGATCACAGCTATAGCAGCATCACAGAGAGACAGAAACTATTTGTCAAGCAGCCAGCTTCCTTATCAGTTAGATTTGACTGTAAAGTCCTACCACTTTAAATCTCATAGAACTCAATAGACAGCCAGTGCACTCTACTGAGAACAGATATAATCTGCTTTCTGTATGAAACTCCTCATAATTATCGGATACTTTCTGCACTTATAGTTTCAAGTTGTATCCCCATAGAGTACATCATAGCAGCTTGCGTCTGAGCTCACAGCAATAGATAATGACAGCAAGGATATCAACTGCCTCTAATAGAAAAGGTCACACCCTTCTCACCTAGTGCAGATTGAATAAAGCATTCTTGGCCACAGCTGCTATCTGTGAACTCAGGATCTGAGAAACTAACATAACCCCAAACCAGGAAATCTAAGTAACAAGCATCTGTCTGCCTTCTTCCTGCACGGTGTGCAAGTCATCTGTAAGTCCTAAAGACCTGTGAGGATGAAGCTGCTAGAGAGTGTATCTAGGTGCCACTGTGTTTATGGGTTTCAGAAAGATAGCTGTGTTAGTCTGTTTCAGGAGAAACAGGGGCGAGGGACCTAAGAGCTGGGGCTTGCCTGCATCCAACACCATGTGGGGCTGGAGCACACAGAATCTAATAGGCTGGGCAAAGGGGATGTGGGGAGTGTCTTTCTCCCTCCCAGTCAGGGGCCATGTCAATGAGGGTTTGCTTTTTTTTTTTTTCTGCTTCTCACTTGTGTGTGGCCCCTGACTGATTTTTCTGTGGGTCAGCAGCCCCTGACCCAAAAAAAAGTTCCCTAACCCTGAGCAATAACCACAAGGAGTCCAGTGGCATCTTAAAGACTAACACATTTATTAGGGCATGAACTTTCGTGAGCTATGACTCGCTTCCTCAGATGCTTGAAGTAAAAGAAAGGCTGGGATACAGAGATGGGAATGTGACATCAGGGAAATTTCCTTCAGGGAAATTACTTGCTGTAATAATGTCCCTTTCAGGTACTCTCCTTTTCTCATCACTGTTGGAGATGAGCCTCATCCACTCTGATTTAATTAGCACCGATGTCACACTCCCATCTCTGTATCTCTGCCTTTCTTTCACTTCAAGCATCTGAGGAAGTAAGTTGTAGCTCATGAAAGCTTATGCCAACACATTTGTTAGTCTTCAAGATGCTACCAGCAGAGCTGTTCTATTTAGAACACCCACTTGCGTAGCGATGAGGAGTCCTGTGGCACCTTATAGACTAACTGAAGTGTAGGAGCATAAGCTTTCGTGGGCAAAGACCCACTTCGTCAGATGCATGCCCACTTGCGTAGGGCATCCAAAAATCTCGGGGCACCAGTGGGTCTTAATGTTCACCCTTCTGCCTCTTCCTATCATTATTCTGTGGCTCTGCTTCCTCCAGAGAGAGCTAGTTAACTTAAAAGTGAAAAATCCTGTCAGACCTATTAACAGAACCTGTGAAAAAGCCATTCAAGTGGTAATGAAGCCTTTGCCAACCCTGTCAGTTTCTGAATTTACTGTGTTAGTCGACAGGACCTTAGTTTAAAATTTGTTTTAAAATATGTCATTGGTGTGTTGCTGAAGATTATAAAATCACACCTCTTAAAAAATCAGCATCTCCCCAGCACCTGAATTGAGACCCCCTTTTTGTTGTTCATAGTTTTACATACATTAGTGATATTAGACAAATAGAATGTTATATGTACCTTTTAGTGGGGTACCATTAGCTGCAAGGATCATTTGGTCTGCCATGGCTTTAGTTCTTGAATAATGATTAACTTGCTGAAAAGAGAGTGAAAAATATAGTGAATTGCTTAACTAAATCACTACATTGGTAAATGCCAACTCTGATAACATGTTAGTCAAATTGTACATCTGTCCAGCTTGCAGACATCACCTCAATAAAATTTTCTCAAAGCACAAGATATAGAGAAATGATTTAGGGTTGGAAGCCTAAATAATTGTTTTCTGATTAAAGTGACAGGTAGGTTAGAATTTTGGCTACACAAATTTATATTCCCAGCCTTGTTTTTTGTCGACTGATCCCTTATGCCTCGTGCAACAAGGTTTACAGGATCGGTTGACAACAGCTCTAGGACATTCTGGCCACACAGTGTCCCTAAAATCAGTTTCCTGAAGGAATTGTCCCAATGTAGAGAAATGACATAATACCAGAAGGTTACCATGGCAGTTCCTATGTGTCCCAACTCATAGCTGACATTACAGAAGCATAGCAAAAAAAGAGTGGCTAAGGCCCATTTACATGCAGGGGATCATAGACTTTTGAAATGGCCACTCATGGTAGGGAGGGGCTGGTGTAGGAACTGGGACGTGGCAAGGAACACTATCAGTTTAGCTACTTGGGGCATTGGTGATGCAATTTTTTTTAAAACTAACGGGTTAACTAAAATTGATTGAAGTGAATCTAGGACTTCAAGACTTCAAGACAGACCCAAAAGAGAAAATAACAGAACTCTTCTTGTTGTTACTTACAGTCCACAACTCAGACCCCTCCAACGCATTGTACACAATCTACAACCCATCCTGGAAAATGATCCCTCACTCTCAGAGGCCTTGGGAGAAAAACCTATTCTTGCTTACAGACAACCCCCTAACCTGAAACATGTTCTTTCTGTTAACCATGCCACATAACCACATCATAAGCCTCCAGGAACCCGGCTCTGCAACCAGAAAAGATGCCAACTCTGCCCACATATCTACACTGACAAATTCATCATTGGAGCAAACAACACAAGCCACAAAATCAAAGGGTCATTTGACTGCTCATCTAGTAATTTGATTTATGCCATCAAATGCCAACAGTGCCCCACTACTATACATATTGGTCAAACTGGACGTTCTCTACAGGAAAGAATCAATGGACAAAAATCGGATATACGTAAAGAAAATACTCAGAAGCCAGTGGCAGAACATTTCTGTTTACCTAACCATAAACTCACAGATACCATCTACATTTTTTGTTAGTCTATAAAGTGCTACAAGACCATTTGCTTGCTGTTTTTTTTTTCTGTACCAGACTAACTCGGCTACTCCCTGAAGCTCCTGATCTCTCTGTAGGTGAGGAAACAGAGTCTGTGGGATCCTGTCTTAGATGCAATTTAGGCGGTCCCACCTCTAACCTTCCACCTCTAACACCATTGGCTACAAAGGTCACAAGTGGTCCTAGGGCTTAGACACAGTACCAATGGACACAGCTATTCAAGAAAAATTTGTTATTGCATCAAGGGATGCATGATAACCTCAAAGAGTGGAATCTGTGTGAACTGTCAAAGAAGAAGAAGTGACTCCTAAATGCAGGTGATGTTCTGAGACAGGGAAAAGCGAGCAGCGGGAGTGGTCACGGCAGAATGTGCTCCAGATTCCAGTTAGTGAACATTCTAGTATCCCCAGGTTTCTCTAATTTATATTTGGACAGAGTAGAGAGTCAGGGAATCAAAAGACTGTTTGATGGTTTTCTGCAGGAAAGACTCTTCCCATTATTTTTAAATTCCAGTTTTTAGTTGTTGTTGTTTTTTTTTTTGTAAGATCTACTTAGTTATGGATAAGGACTGGATTATTGATCACAGGCCACTCTTAGAATAATCTCAGAGTATTTAAGTCAGAACTCTGGCAGCAGCAGCAGCAACATCTACCTCAACCCAAAGATAAACTGAGGCTAATAATTTAAATAAATGCCCTCTGCAGAAGCACACTTTGGAACACAAATACAGTTTCATAAAGTTGGACAACACTGCTGAATAGGACGGTTGGAAAGTAAAATACCTTTTCTAGTGGAAAATATGGTAAAGTTTCATCTCCATCTTCAATGGGATTCCCTCCAAACACCACATTCACCGTACTAGTATATATCAGCCTCGGGATATTTCTTTCTTTGCAAACTACAATAATAGACAAAATAAATTTTAAAGAAAAAGGGAAGAATATGAAAATCCACATGAATGGCAGTGAATATTTTCTTGTCAAAGACAACTACTGCAAACATAAGGGCAGTCTTTCAGTTACAGCATTATCTTAAAATTAAAATAACACCTTCCATTCATAGAAATTGTGGATGAAAAATTTCTCTATGCAACTTTTTGAAAATGGAAAGTGCTATATAAATGCTGTTGCAATTACTAAATGTTTTACAAACTACATACATGCAGCAATCACATCACCACTGAAATACAGTCACTATTTGGAGAGCAGATGCTACTTGTGTGAGAACACTTTAATGGAAATAAAAAGCCCTGCTATATTTCAGTAACATCAAATGAATTATTTTCACTGTGCCTGACTGAGCTAGAAAAGGAGATCAATATGCACACCCATGGGATGAAATAGAATTATAAATGACCTGCATCATCTTGTCTTCTGGACTGTAGATCTCCAGGCTGAAGTCACTTTTGCCCTTGCTTGTGCAGTAGGCAGCTGTGATAGTAGTGCTGCTTTTTCTAGCATGTCTGGCCTGTGCCACCTCCTTGCTTATATGCATGCACCTCCATGAGGCTATCTCCATTCTCATTTTGTGCAGGCCTGTATGCAAGAATTTGTGTGTGTGTGTGTGGGGGGGGAGAGGTTTGGAAATGTGGACCACAAGATATGAATGCACACCCTATGGTCTCCCAAATAAGTAGGGAAATCAGACCCAGCCTTTCCTTGGCTGGCCAGAGCATGCTTACTTGGCAGGTGTTGGGGGTGTGTGTGTTCTATCACACCCTTTGCACTCCCCCAGTGTATGGGCCTGTTGTGAGAACTTAAGTGCAATAGGAAATCGATGTCTTCCCAGCTGCCTCATTGTCAAAGCTTCCCGTACCATTGTCCCCCAGGGACTGAGGGAAAAAAATGTGGAGGCATCCCTTTAAATGTTATGAAGGAGAACAGAGTGCAGCTCAAACATTTCTTTTCCAAAGTGCTATGAAGCGAAAGTCCACCAAAACACGAGAGAGAAGAAGCAAAATATTTGAGTAAAAATGTTGCGCATGCATTTTGCTAGTACAGCTGCATAGTTCACATCCAGAACTGCAGAGTGGTGGAAGAGTAGGCCTTTCTTCCAAATACATCAAGTCGCTTCCAGTCCCTATCTCATTTTCTTGGCCTCTCTGATTCATTGCATCAACCACTAGAGAAATGTGAGTGGGATGCGTGAAAAGGAAATCCATTTCCTTGATGCAACATGAGGGAGAGAGGGTGGCGGGAGTTTGCCAGATCGCTTTGGCTGGTTCCATCAATGCTGCATTCACTGGCAGGGCAAGCCTGGCAGCTGGAGAGGCCTGGAGGATATCCGTGAGCCTGTGCTGCATCTCTGGTAACTGCTCCGGAAGGATATCTAAAGAGTCAGCCACTTGCTTGTGCAGCTCTTGAAAAGATTCAAAATCCATCTCCTGAGGTGGGAGGAGGAGGCGGCATGATAAGAACAGCCATACTGGGTCAGACCAACGGTCCATCCAGCCCAGTATCCTGTCTGCCGATGGTGGCCAATAACAGATGCCCCAGAGGGAGGGAACAAAACTGGCAATCCTCACGTGATCCCTCCCCTGTCACCCACCTCTAGAGAAACAGAGGCTAGGGACACCATTCCTACCCATCCCGGCTAATAGCCATTGATGGACCCAACCTCTATGAATCTATCTAGCTTTCGTTTGAACCCTGTTAAAGTCCTAGCATTTACCACATTCTGTGGCAAGGAGTTCCACAGGTTGATTGATAGCGTCATCTGGTGACAAAGAGGATATGTGTGCAAGTTCAGGCAAATCAATCTCAACCAGCTCACATATGGCATTGTGCCCTCCTCTGGGTCCATTACTGAAGGGGGGAGGGGCTGACAGGGCTGGAGTGCCTTCTGATCTGGGAGTTGGAGCTGGTTGTTGAGGCTCAGGATGCTGAGCTCTGTACATAGCTCAGGGGTCCCAGCAGGGGCAGTGAGGTGGCGCAGGTATCGGTGGAGGTACCCATTGAATGGACTGCCACTGTGGAGGTTGCTGGTATGGCTGGATTGGTTGTGGGGAGGAGTGTACCAGCCTTGTGAAGTTTCCTCTTTCTCATCAGGAGACATTGGAGAGGCTGAGCCAGCAGGAGTCATGGACAGGCTGAACGATGTGACTGTCAGAGCTGAAGAGAGGTGACCAGTAAGTCTGTGTGGCTGGTAAAATGCTGTGGTGCCGGGAAGGTCGGTACTGGTACAGGCACCAGGGGGATGCTAAGCAGTTGCGCTTATGCTGACATCTTGCAAACACATGAGGGTGCAACAGGTGGCAGAGATGAGATGCTTGGTGCCGAGGCTATACTTGTGCCGACGCAGTCTATTTGCCTTTAGACTGGGCGCCGTAGAGTTAACTTGTGCCAGGTTTTTCGATCCTTGGGTTGTCTTGGTGCTGGATGTGCCCAGGTGCCTCTTGGCCTGGTGCTGTGGGTGCTGCAGGTACCAGGGCTGATTTTTTTGTGAGAGAGCTTTTTCAAAGGGGAAATCACCCCGAGAAGAGGACTGGGCGCCATGTCTGGAGTAGGATCTCTGGCGCTCGACCCTGAGGGAGCTGCCTTCTCTGCTACTGTCACTGGAGAGGATTGTCTTGGCGGTGGAGTATGTTCCAGATCCGAAGTTGGACCAAGGGACTTCTCCTTGAGAAGCAGCTTAAGCTGTAATTCTCAGACGTTTCTGGTTCTGGCTGTGAGTTTTTTACAGCGGGGGCACTTTTGCAGAGTATGTCCCTCCCCTGGACAATGGACACACTGAGTGTGTCTGTTGGAGACTGGGAGAGTCCGCACCTCAGACACTGTTTAAAGCCCAGAGAACCAGGCTTGTCCAAGAAGCAGACACAGGCATGGGTACTGGGTAGTATGTGGGGAAGGAACAGCCATAGGCACGATCCAGCTGTGTTAGGAACAGTACCACTGCTGTGGTGACAACAGCAGGGAGTGCAGCTGTCACACGCGTGACTAAGGAAATAGTTACATGGTTGCAAACATATGGGGGCAAAGTCTGCTTTTTGGCAGTGTGTACTCTTGATAAACTACAGGCACACAGGGAATCTCCCAGTGTACCTATTCTCCCGCTTCCCCCCCCTCAATTCTTACTCCATTATCAACCCATGGAGAAATGCCTCTGCACATTTTGTGGCTCCAGAGGTCATTTCTGTTGGGGTTATTTGGCGTATTTCATTGGATATGTTTCTTGATTCATTCCTGGCTTTGCTTATCACTTCAGTTCAGTTATTTTTTGTTCCAGGTAGACATAATCTGCAGTGAAAGAGGGGGATTGTGCACGGGCAACACAAAAGTGGGTAAAAACTAACGCTGCTCTTGCCTTTGTTGCAAAGGCAAAAACAAAAAGAATGTTGATATGGACGATACAGTATAAAAAGCCATATCTGCCGCTTACAGCACCAGAAACTGAACTGCTGTCATTTTCCTGAGAGATTATATTTTGTCCTTTTAGCAACAATATAAAAAGCCAGGATTTAATTCCAGATATTCTATTCACAGGCCTGGGCACAACCCAAAATTTTCTACAAAAAATGTAGTAAAAAATACTTCTAATATGCCATAATTATGTTACATTAGGGTTTCATTCTGCCACACTGACTTGCTGTGAGTAATGCCTTACTCTGTGAGCAATGATGGAAGAGTTGGTCTTTGTCTGACAGATCAATGCACCAAAGTGCTGTGGTGAATGGAAGTGTGTCAACTGACTTCAATGGGATTTGGATCAGCCCCCCAAAAGGAAAATCTAGGTACATACCATCAATGACTACTTTAGTTCCATCAACATTTATGGACTCAATCACTTCTTTCTTTTGTAGCTAGAAATGGAGAAGTTGCATAGTATTTAATGACTTTAACAATTTAAATTCACCACACAGCTTCGTAATTGTCAAACATTAATGCAGTTATGTCCACTTTGCCACTTATTTTGTTTTATGTTCTTGTAAACCTCAGATCTCTTTTACTTGTCAGTTTGTACACAGAAGTAAAGTTTACATTAAAAAAAGGGGATGGGGCAGGAATTAGATTCCAAGACGTCAATAGTCTGTTCTGCCCAACGTAGGATTGGCACAGAAATGAGAGTTGGAAAGTAGATTTAAATGTGAGTGCACTGTTCTGGGGCCTGGCCATGGTCATAGAATCATAGAACCATGGAGCTGGAAGAGACCTCAGAAAGTCATCAAGTCCAGCCCCCTGCCCTGCCAGGGCTTTGTCAAGCCGAGACTTAAACACCTCTAGGGATGGAGACTCCACTACTTCCCTAGGGAACCCATTCCAGTGCTTCACCACCCTCCTAGTGAAATAGTTTTTCCTAATATCCAACCTGGATCTCTCCCACCTTAACCTGAGACCACTGCTCCTTGTTCTGCCATCTGTCACTACTGAGAACAGCCTCTCTCCATCCTCTTTGGAACCTCCCTTCAGGAAGTTGGAGGGTGCTATCAAATCCCCCCTCACTCTTCGCTTTTGCAGACTAAACAGACCCAACTCCCTCAGCCTCTCCTCATAGGTCATATGCTCCAACTTCCTAATCATTTTGGTTGCCCTCCGCTGGACCCTCTCCTATGCGTCCATATCCTTTTTGTCGTGGGGGGCCCAGAACTGGACACAATACTCCAGATGTGGCCTCTCCAGAGCCGAATAAAGGGGAATAATGACATCTCTGGATCTGCTGGCAATGCTCCTCTTAATGCAACCTAATATGCCATTAGCCTTCTTGGCTACAACGGCACACTGTTGACTCATATCCACTTTCTCATCCACTGTAACCCCCAGGTCCTTTTCTGCAGAACTGTCCTGCCTGATCCACGCTGCCCAATAAATTAGCTGCCACAGGTCTGCTTTAATTTAACCTTTAGTACAGCATGGGCTCTACACTAGGTTAATAATTTCATGCCTAGTATTCAATAAATCCCGCCTCATTTCCTAATCAGATTATTTAATCTTTATAAATAATTTTGGTTTACACTTAAAATAATGTAATCCCAATCATCAGAAGCCTAACCATCTATGGCTATACACTCAACATGTTTTCCACCTTTATATGAAAGAAATTTCACATATATAAATATTTTACTATGAAAAGTTTGCAAATTTTTTTCATGTCACTTACTCATCTCAATAGACTGCTATTTTTAAAGCATTCAGAGAGAGAAAAAAATAAGAAAGTTGTACTCACTTGTTCCAGTCCTGACATTCCGTGTGAAGCCACATGAAAAACACAGTCGACCCCTCTACAAGCCTTGAAGACTGCATTATAATCCCTCACATCACCCTGTGATCAGTCAGAAAGCAATAGACTTGGCCAGAAAGGTATAATTTACAATTTTCATATAACTAATCATTATTGTTAAGAAAAATCTAAAAGTAATTTTGCTACCCTTCACACAATTGCTTTGCTAATTAATATTAAACAGATTTTTACAAAACTGTACAGCAAAGTCCTGATAGAGTATTTCTTTAGGGACAAGAAAAATGTGTATAGCTATAGTTTGGTTGAAAGGTACTATGTTTTTCACACTTGGTCCTGTAGCCCTAAGGGTGGGAAAACTAGCTGGACTTTAATTGTAGTAACACGTGTCCAAGCGTTGCAGGATCAGGCCCTTCTAAGAAGTCATCAGAAGGAAGGTTCAGTGATTTGCAACATCGTCACTCTGAGATTGTTAAACTTTACTGTATTCATAGTAGTTCATAGATCAAACCTCAGCTTTTGCAGTTTATTAAAACACATATCTGTCTCCATCTGGTCTCCAATGTTAAATGTGTGTGCCAGATGTTTGCTATTTAATTGACATCAATGATAGTTTTATCAATGTTTCAGGGTAGATCATATCTCTCTAGAAGATGGATATAAAAACAAATGTGAAAATTCTATGGTAGGGTGGTGAGATTTCAACATCAGATGTGACTCAAACTACTGTCATAAGCCTAATGAAAATATGTCTTGAGTTGGCAACTTGAGGTGCATTTCACAAATATAATTTTTAAGCTTTACAACACCCCATGAGTCAGAAAAATGTTAGCTCTAGCCAGTTTACAGTTGAAGTGTAGGACCAATGGCGAAGTGGTTTGCCCAAAATTACACAACAATTCCAGTGCCAGAAGGAGATCATCCAGATGCCCCAATTTCTAATCCGCAACTCTAACCACAATATGATAGCATTACCCTTCAGTGATTATTTCATAAACACTCTGCAACATTTTTTTGTTACAATGTGGGAAATGTTGTTTTTAGTGGATTCTGACAGCCTGATCCTCAGATGGTGAAGTTAATGGAGCACTGCTAATTTACAATAGAACTATGGTGATTTACACCAGCTTAAAATCTGGCACATAATTTCTAATGAAGTTTTTGATGTTATTTATGACAGTTCTGTGTTCCATGAAAACTGCTAAGTTGACAATTTGCTGCTGTCCACAAGAGAAGAACAATTCATCTAATTTGATTGTTGTTAAAAATGTAATTTTACCATACCTGGAAATGCGTTGCTCCATTAGGAAGTTCCCATTTAGGCTTTTGTATATCAAAAAGAACAACAGTGATTCCTAATTTGGTGAGAGCACATCCCAGGTTGTATCCAAAGTAGCCTCCACCTCCTGTTATCAACACCTTGCTTTTAAGATGTGGTACAGTTTTTCCATTTAGTCTGCAGTCAGCTGATGGGGTACTGCCCTTCTGGAACCAATCAGCCTTGTTTTGTATCATGTCTACAATTGAGAGACTTTTTTGAAACCTCCTCCACAGAACTCTGGGATGCAGATAATTCCACTGAGTTTCATGTTACAATGCTCTATTCATGTCTGCAAATATTATCTTCATCTGACCTGTTTAGAAGGCATAAAAATAAGTAATAATACTAGTTGCTGGATTTCCAGATACAAAAAGTAACCAATATAAATGCTCATTGAGATGTTCAGCTTTTGTCGTTTAGTGTTTCATCACAAATTTCATGTTAAATGAAAAGAAGTGCTGGCAGTCTACAAACATCGCATACTGTCATTCTCAGTTTATCAATTATATGGTATTAAAATATATTGTTGATATTGTACCCTGAAAAGATTCACTAGGTTTGCATATATTTAAGTCCTCCATAAAGGTTAGCACAGCAAACAAGAAAGAAAAATGGATGAGTTTATATTTGATCAAGACAAGGGCTATAACAATGTCCCTAACTGCTTATATATATCACTTTATTCCACTTGGTGTCAAAGTATAACAACAATCAAAAGCTGTTACCATCTATAATGATTGTTTCCTACACAAATGAGTTTAGGGATCTGTGTCCTGTTTCTGTTACTGTCCATCTTCATAAAGTTCACCCTTTTGGAAGCCTCAGCAGAAAGACAACTGAATGGGCAAGGGGATTATATTAATATCATTTCACCTAGAGTGGTTTTTCCCGGTTTCAGTGTGGGCACAGCAGGACTGCATTGCTGTTGATTGTACTGTGCCTGTTCTGGGGATAGATATTCTTAGTGCATCTCATATATTCTTACTCATTTAGCTTCTTCACTTTCACTGTACTATGTCTGACTATGACCAGGAGACAACTAGGCAACTCTCCAACATCACATTTTACAAACCTTTCTCCTCTGATCCACTTCAGAATACCAAAAAGAATACAATGTCTCCTTAAAGAACTCCCTTCCTCTACTCGGGACCAAATCCACACAGAAACACCTTCTGAACCCCGACAACGATTGTTCTATCTGCTTCCCAAAATCCATAAACCTGGACACTGAGGACACCCCTTCATCTCAGGTATCGGCACGGTCACTACTGGATTATCCAGCTATGTAGACTCTCTTCTCAAACCCTACGCAATCAACACTCCCAGCTATCTCCGAGATACTACTGACTTCCTGAGAAAACTACAAAACATCAATAACCTCCCTGATAATGCCATCCTTGCTACCGTGAACGTAGAAGCTCTCTACACCAACATCCCACGTGAAGACGGATTACTAGCAATTAGAAACACTATTCCAGAGGATACCACTGCCAATCTGGTAGCAGACCTATGTAACTTTGTTTTCACCCACAATTAGTTCCAATTTGGGGACAACTTATACCTCCAGATCAGCAGCGCAGCCATGGGTACCCACATGGCCCCACAGTATGCTAACATCTTTATGGCTGACTTAGAACAACGTTTCCTCAGATCCTGTCTCCTTTTATCCCTTCTCTACTTATGCTACATCGATGACATCTTTATGATCTGGACCCATGGCCAAGAAACACTGGATGCATTCCACAGAGATTTTAACAACCTACACCCCACCATCAATCTTAGCCTGGACCATTCTACATGAGAGATCCATTTCCTGGACACCACAGTACAAATCACCAATGGAAAATTAGACACCACTCTCTACAGAAAACCTACTGACTCCTACAGTTACCTACATGCCTCCAGCTCCCATCCAGGACACACCATATGATCCATCATCTATAGCCAAGCCCTTAGATACAATCGTATCTGCTCTAATACCACTGACAGAGACCAGAAACTTCAGGATCTCTACCAAGCATTTATAAACCTCAATTACCCACCTGGAGAAATAAAAAAACAAATTGAAAGAGCAAGATGAATACCCAGAAACCATCTACAAGACAGACCCAAGAAAACCAACAATAGAACACCTCTTGTCATCACCTATAGCCCCCAACTTAAACCCGTCCGATGCATTATCAATAATCTACAACCTATACTGGAACAGGATACGACCCTCAGAGAGGCTCTGAGAGAAAGACCCATAGTCTCCTATAGACAACCACCTAACTTCAGGATGATTCTTACCAACAACCACAGGATATACCACACTAATACCAACCCTAGAACTTTCCCTTGCAACAAACCCCGGTGCCAGCTTTGTCCACATATTTACTCTGCTGACACCATTATTGGACCTAACCATGCCAGTTACAAGATCAAGAACACATATTCCTGTTCATCCAGAAATATAATTTATGCTATCATGTGCCTAAAGTGTCCATCTGCTATGTATATTGAACAAACTTCTCAGACACTTCGCCAAAGAATCAATGCACATAAAACAGACACCAGGCTCTCTCACAGAGAGAAAACTGTTGCTTGCCATTTTAACCAGATTGACCATTCTTTCAATGACCTTAAAACATGCATATTGTTTCAAAGAGATTTTAACTCCAGACTTCAAAGAGAAGCCTCAGAACTGTCATTCATGCTTAAATTTGACACTTTACATATGGGTCTTAATAAAGATGCTAATTATCTCACCCATTACAAAGATAGCTTCCCCAGTTATCACCCCTAATATCATTACCTCGCAGACACTAACCTTCGCCTCTCACTCTTCCTCTGTTCTAAAATCTGATTTGTCAATTTTATATGTGTTTACTTTTTTTTTATTGTATCACTTTGGTATATATGGTGGTGTCAATTTTCTTCCACAAATTGATTTGAGGAAGTGGGTCTGGCCCACGAAAGCTCATCACCTAATAAACCATCCTGTTAGTCTTTAAAGTGCTGCATAGTCCTGTCTTTTGTTTCAGCTAGATCACTGCATATCTATCACTATCCCACCATACAAACACACAGTGTGAAAGTTAAGAATAAAGTCATGCCGATATATTGAAATGTGCCTTTATACTAAAACAAAGAGTCTATTCTCCCATCAATTAAGACATATGAGATGTTATAGGGCTTGGAAATGTGCCATTCTAGCTAGCTGTAGGGGCTAAGTACTCACACTTTATTATCGGAGTTGCTTGGATTCACACTTCAGACTGAAGGCTTGTCTGCTTAAAGGACTAGAATGGCACAGCTACACCAATGCAGCTGCAATGCTGTAGCACTTTAGTGAAGATGCCTCCAATGCTAATGGGAGAGCTTCTTCTAAGGGTAGTGATAGAAATGTAGCCGTGTTAGTCTGGGGTAGTTGAAGCAAAATGCAGGACAATGTAGCACTTTAAAGACTAACAAGATGGTTTATTAGATGATGAGCTTTCGTGGGCCAGACCCACTTCCTCAGATCAAATAGTGGAAGAAAGTAGTCACAACCATATATACCAAAGGATACAATTAAAAAAAATGAACAAATATGAAAAGGACAAATCACATTGCAGAACAGAAGGGGAATGTGGGGGGGTGGGAACACAGACACTTACCTTCCTCCTCCCCCTTCCCACCCCCCCACATTCCCCTTCTGTTCTGCAATGTGATTTGTCCTTTTCATATTTGTTCATTTTTTTTAATTGTATCCTTTGGTATATATGGTTGTGACTACTTTCTTCCACTATTTGATCTGAGGAAGTGGGTTTGGCCCACGAAAGCTCATCATCTAATAAACCATCTTATTAGTCTTTAAAGTGCTACATTGTCCTGCATTTTGCTTCTTCTAAGGGTGTAAGTAATTCACCTTCCTGAGAACAGTAGTTGTGTCATCAGGAAAAGCTCTCCCATTGACATGATGCTATCTACACTAGGAGTTAGGCTGGTATTTTGTCATTCAGAGGTGGGGATTGTCAACATCCATGAGCAATGTAATTTCACTCAAGTTACAATGTAGTTTCACCCTCATAATCCTGAGGGTTCAGAGTGCAAAACTAAGTTCTGGATGATGATTTCACACCCAGAATATCACAAAAAGAGAAAATGTGCTAATATAAAGGATTAAAATGTCTAGAAAAATGAGCTATGAGGAAAGACTGAAAAAATTGCATTTGTTCAGTTGGGGAAAGAGAAGACTGAACGGGGACATTATAGCAACTTTCAAGTACTTAAAAAGAATGTTACAAGGAAGAGGGAGAAAAATGATTCTCCCAAATGCTTATGATAGGACAAGAATTGATGGGATTAAATTGCAGCAAGGAAGGTTTAGGTACATTAAGACATTAGGACAAATTTTGTAACTGTCCAGGTAGTTAAGCACTGGAATGAATTGCCCAGTGAAATTTTGGAATCTCCATTACTGGAGATTTTTAAGAGCGGGTTAGATATCTGTCAGGAATGGTTTAAATGGTTCTTGGTCTTAGGTGCAGGGGACTCAACTTGATGTTATCTTGTGGTCTCTTCCAGTTCTATTATTCAATGATTATAGAGAAAAAACTGAAAGCAACCCACTCTCCTGAAGTAAAATAAATAAAAAGAAAATAGTCCTCTAGCCTCCAAAAGAGGAACTATCACAATTTATACATTGTGAAAATAAGTTACGTTATAAGCAGGTGTGATAGATCCAGACCAGCTGTCTGCCATTCACGGGTAGAGGGAATACATGCTGGAGCTTGGGTAGGCAGCTTTCTCTTCCCTGAGTTAAAAAAAAAAAAAGCCAAAGCCATACTCTAGCATAATCAGGCAGGCACCTGGGGTCAATTGAAACTTGCTAGAAGCCACAGGCTAATTAAACACCTGCAGCCAATTAAGGCTTGTGGTGTCGCTTTAAAAGGGCTCCCCTAGGCAAGGAAGGGGGAGGAAAAGAGCAAAGGACAGGAAAGAGGGGTTCCTGTGTGAGAACAGAACAGGGGGAATTGTTTGGAGAAGTGGCCCAGGAAAAAGCTCCCAGATTGTGAGTGGCAAGCCTCTGAAGCTAACACTATCTGCCAGGAGCACAAGACCCCTGGGCTACGTCTACACTGGCCCCTTTTCCGAAAGGGGCATGCTAATTTTCCAGGTCGTAATAGGGAAATCCGCGGGGGATTTAAATATCCCCCGCGGCATTTAAATAAAAATGTCCGCCGCTTTTTTCCGGCTTTTAGAAAAGCCGGAAAAGAGCGTCTACACTGGCCCCGATCCTCCGGAAAAAAGCCCTTTTCCGGAGGATCTCTTATTCCTACTTCGAAGTAG